AAAATAAAAATGTCGATTTTTTCAAAGGGTTAAACCCCTTTGGATTTTAATTTCAAAATTTTCAAACTCAATTTTCTCGAAACCCGTCAAAGATTTTGGATTAATTTTCTTTGAGATTGTAGTCCTTGATGAGGGCTTCAAAAAGGTACTTAGTTGAAGTCGCTGACACCTACGGTTTTTGAGAAAATTGAGTTTGAAGTTTTTGACCAAATTTCAACCAAAATCCAACTTTGAGGCTCAATTGCTCTAAAAGTATTTGAGTTATCAACCTCAATCTAGCAGCGATTTATAGAGAATTTGATGCTCTTTCCAACCATATATAATTTATTTTAATTTGCTCAAAATTTAATAGAAGTATTGGCAATTCCTCCTAACCTTGTCAGGATTCAAAAAAAATTTAAACCTAAAAATTGAGATTTTCTTTTTAATTATTCTCTGTGTTGAAATCAAGATCTTGTAATGATGTTAGAGTTTTTTTCGACTAATTTAGACCCGCTCTATCGATTGGAAAAGTCAAAATTCAAAAAATCTGAAAAATAAAAATTTCGTTTTTTCCAAAGGGCTAACCCCTTTGGATTTTAATTTCAAAATTTTCAAACTCAATTTTCTCGGAACCCGTCAAAGATTTTGGATCAATTTTTTTTGAGATTGTAATCCTTGATGAGGGCTTCAAAATCGTACTTAGTTGAAGTCGCTGACATTTACGGTTTTTGAGAAAATCGAGTTTGAAGTTTTTGACCAAATTTCAACCAAAATCCAAATTTGAGGCTCAATTGCTCTAAAAGTATTTGAGTTATCAAACTCAATCTAGCAGCGATTTATAGAGAATTTGAGGCTCTTTCCTACCATATATAATTTATTTCAATTTGCTCAAAATTTAATAGAAGTATTGGCAATTCCTCCTAACCTTGTCAGGATTCAAAAAAAATTTAAACCTAAAAATTGAGATTTTCTTTTTAATTTTTCTCTGTGTTGAAATCAAGATTTTGTAATGATGTTAGAGTTTTTTTCGATTAATTTAGACCCGCTCTATCGATTGGAAAAGTCAAAATTCAAAAAATCTGAAAAATAAAAATTTCGTTTTTTCCAAAGGGCTAACCCCTTTGGATTTTAATTTCAAAATTTTCAAACTCAATTTTCTCGGAACCCGTCAAAGATTTTGGATCAATTTTTTTTGAGATTGTAATCCTTGATGAGGGCTTCAAAATCGTACTTAGTTGAAGTCGCTGACATTTACGGTTTTTGAGAAAATCGAGTTTGAAGTTTTTGACCAAATTTCAACTAAAATCCCACTTTGAGGCTCAATTGCTCTAAAAGTATTTGAGTTATCAAACTCAATCTAGCAGCGATTTATAGAGAATTTGAGGCTCTTTCCTACCATATATAATTTATTTCAATTTGCTCAAAATTTAATAGAAGTATTGGCAATTCCTCCTAACCTTGTCAGGATTCAAAAAAAATTTAAACCTTAAAATTGAGATTTTCTTTTTAATTATTCTCTGTGTTGAAATCAAGATTTTGTAATGATGTTAGAGTTTTTTTCGACTAATTTAGACCAGCTCTATCGATTGGAAAAGTCAAAATTCAGAAAATCTGAAAAACAAAAATTTCGATTTTTTCAAAGGGTTAAACCCCTTTGGATTTTATTTTCAAACTCAATTTTCTCGAAACCCGTCAAAGATTTTGGATCAATTTTTTTTGAGATTGTAGCCCTTGATGAGGGCTTCAAAATGGTACTTAGTTGAAGTCGCTGACATTTACGGTTTTTGAGAAAATCGAGTTTGAAGTTTTGACCAAATTTCAACTAAAATCCAACTTTGAGGCTCAATTGCTCTAAAAGTATTTGAGTTATCAACCTCAATCTAGCAGCGATTTATAGAGAATTTGATGCTCTTTCCAACCATATATAATTTATTTTAATTTGCTCAAAATTTAATAGAAGTATTGGCAATTCCTCCTAACCTTGTCAGGATTCAAAAAAAATTTAAACCTAAAAATTGAGATTTTCTTTTTAATTATTCTCTGTGTTGAAATCAAGATCTTGTAATGATGTTAGAGTTTTTTTCGACTAATTTAGACCCGCTCTATCGATTGGAAAAGTCAAAATTCAAAAAATCTGAAAAATAAAAATTTCGTTTTTTCCAAAGGGCTAACCCCTTTGGATTTTAATTTCAAAATTTTCAAACTCAATTCTCTTGAAACCCGTCAAAGATTTTGGATTAATTTTCTTTGAGATTGTAGTCCTTGATGAGGGCTTCAAAATGGTACTTAGTTGAAGTCGCTGACATTTACGGTTTTTGAGAAAATCGAGTTTGAAGTTTTTGACCAAATTTCAACTAAAATCCCACTTTGAGGCTCAATTGCTCTAAAAGTATTCGACTCAATCTAGCAGCGATTTATAGAGAATTTGATGCTCTTTCCAATCATATATAATTTATTTCAATTTGCACAAAATTTAATAGAAGTATTGGCAATTCCTCCTAACCTTGTCAGGATTCAAAAAAAATTTAAACCTAAAAATTGAGATTTTCTTTTTCTCTGTGTTGAAATCAAGATTTTGTAATGATGTTAGAGTTTTTTTCGATTAATTTAGACCCGCTCTATCATTTGGAAAAGTCAAAATTCAATAAATATGAACAATAAAAATTTCGAATTTTTCAACCCCTTTGGATATTTATTTCAAAATATTTGATCTTGGATATCTTAAAATCTATTGAAGATTTTGAATTGAAATTTTCAGGAAATATAACTCTTGACAAGGGCTTTAAAATGGTATTTAGTTAAAATCGCTAGCTCTTATGGTTTTCAAGAAAATCGAGTTTGAAATTTTTAATAAAATTTGGACTAAAAGTTAACTTTGAGATCCAATTGCCCAGAAAGTATTTGAGTTATGAGAACCAATTTAGCATGGATTTATAGAGAATTTAATGCTCTTTCCAACCATATATAATTTGTTTTGATGTGTTCAAATTTCTTCTGGGCATTATTCCTAATCTTGTCAAGATTTGAAAAAATTTCCAGAACGAAAATTGAGATTTTTAAGCTTTTTGAAATCGCCATTTTGAAAGTGATGTTAGAATTTTTTTCGACTATTCAAACCCGCTGAATCAATTGGAAAAGTCAAAATTTAGAAAAAATTAAAAATAAAAATTTCGAGTTTCCGATTGGTTTGACTGAAACCCCCCATAAGCAACGCCACTGGCCAAACAAAATACATGTTGCCAACTTGAAAAATAACCGGCCAATAGCAACAAGAGCCTGGAATAAACAGAAATTGAAATATAAAAAGGGAAACATATATAAATATATCAAAAGAACAAATACAAATTTATATAAAAATCAAAGGACCTCACACACCACTTATGGGTATTTGGTTTACTGTCAAACTAATGAAATTTGTATGTGAAGTAAAATTTCAATACATTACGAGGGATGTTTATAAAGTGCATCTTTAGGGGTTTAACCCTTTGAAAAAATATTCCAAATTGATGAAATTTCAAAATCATCAAAAATTGCCATTTTTCAAAAAGTCTTTCACCAATCACTAGATTATTCATAAAATCACCAGATCTGGTGAAATTTCACCAGACTTGGCATCACTGTATATTGTGGCGGTGGGGTGGTTTGTCGCTGCAGCGGTCAGCCATCCGAACAGCAGCACTATTTCCCTGTAGCTTGGGTGGAACTGTACAAAGGTCGCCATCCTGTGTCAAGTTCATCTGGAGTTCGAAAAAAACGAGCTCCATCCGAAAGGCTTGGGCTAAAAATAACCTGTGGAGGGAAGCATTCAGCTTCAGCTTCAGCTCAGTATCTAAATTATCATTGGGGACCCCCCAAACTCCACAAACTAAATAATTCCGAGATTTGGAACCGGATTCTATGAAAAAAGGCACTCAGAAAAATTGAAAAATTAATAGAAGTTATATAGAACACTCGTATAAGGCAATAATTTACCGACTTCGAAATTAACATGTGTGAATTATCTGGACAATTCTAGAAAAAACGACGGAATATAAAACGGAATCAGTCAACAAATGTATCAGAAATCAATTACCAATCGAAAAATGAGTCGATATTGAGACGGTGAATTGTAAGATGTGTATAATTTTGTCTCTCCAACAACTTTATTCAACATTGTGAACAAAATGTAGGTGGATATTATGAAAGGAAAACAATAAACGTTTCAGATACAGTCATGTCACACTTGAACAAAGAAAAAACGAGAGAAAACACGATGGGGCAACCGAAAAGTTGTAAAACTAATTATTCTTACACAGGCGTTTGTGCAATTTCTAATAAACGTGTAGGTATATTAACCTTGATGACGATTGTTTTATGTATATACTTATTATAATAATGTATATTGTTTTTTTTTTTTCTGAAATTCTTTCCGTTTTGTAATTAAACAAAACGTGGCCAATTAAAGTATCATTATGATTTTGGCGAAACAATAGTGCAAAATTGTGTAACGAAAAAATTACATTTTAATTACATACAATATATGATGTATATTTTATAGGTATGAAGGTATTATGCAATTTAGGTGAAATTTGGTAGTAGTTTTTTTAATGTAGTAGTAGGTATGCTTAAAAGTCCCTTGTATGTACCATCGTCACCAAAAGTATCTGGGACACAAATAATGCATAATAATCTCCTGGACATTCATTTCAATGCATTCAATTCAAAGTTTTTAAAATCCAATTTTTATGCAATTGAATGACCACCAAATCCTCTGGACCTTACGCCCTTGGATTATTTTTATTATTTATCCATTTTTTTTGTGTGCAAAAAGTGGGTAGTACCACTTTCATACAATCAATCACCCATAGCAGAAATTCCCTTATCCTAATGGCAAAAAAGACAATGACAAAGTGAAGGATTCATGACTAGTACCGCGGTTATCAACAAAAACAAAACCGCCTCCGACTGTTTGAAAGACAGAGAGAAACAAAATTATAAATAAATATTTGGAACGCGCCCAGCGAGCACCGTTTTAGTCGCGTTTCAGTACTCCACTCTTACTGAAGGCAATCATTATTAACTTAGTAAAACAATCGCGTAGTAGTACTTTTAAATGATCCAATAAAATTATGTCGGAAAAACTGAATTATTGTTGTAGTACCGGGTCGCTGAGTTCTCAGCTCGATTCCGACAATAATGTGATTTTGAGTGACGAAAATAAATATTCTCTAGTGGCCTCCAACAACAATGTGATTCTACCTGAGGACGGGCAACACGTGTTCCCGAAACGTCAGAGGATGGATCTGGAATTTAGGGACGTCACGTTTTCGAGTACCAGTTGGTCGATGACGAAATTTCAGAGAGGTAAGAATTTTGAGAATTATTCTGGTAGAAAAGTAAATAATTTTAAATACCTACTCTAGGTCTAGGTCAATTTTCTCGCCAATTAAATCAAAAATAAAATACTTGAGATAACACTTGAAAGATTAATAGCAACAATAATTATTAATTCGGGTATTAATCAGCATGATTCAATTTTAACTTTTTTTACTCAAATTTAATCTAATCTCATAACAAATAAGTGAATGAATAACACAGATTAAATATATTGTCTCAAGTACCTACGTAATAATTAAAAATGTTTTCATTAATTTCAATCTTTTTTCTATTCATTTGCAGAATTTCAATCCAATTTTTCCCACATCTTCCCTTACAGCTTCATTAATTTCAATCCGATCTTAACCTAATTACGCTTGAATTGAGACCAAGGAAATCCTGTAAATGAACGAAGAATAAGGAAGTTTAATTTTTTTTTCTTAAATTTGATTATTTTTCTATTCATTTGCAAAATTTCAAGCCGATTCTTCAAAAATTTTCTTCGAAAAAAAATAAGACGTCCCTCAATGTCGTTTTTTTGCATATTAGATTTTGCCCAAAATGACTTTGAGACACATTTTGCCTTATAACTTCGTCAATTTCAATCCGATCTCAACGTAATTAGGCTCGGATTGAAGCCAATTGAATACCCTTCAAATCCTTGTAAATTATTTTGATGTAACATTAATAGTTTCACAGCTGCAAAGCTTCAAATTCTTTTGATTGGGATTTTTATCAAAATCAACAAGCAATAGAGAAGTTTAATTTTTTTTCTCAAATTTTATTCTTTTTTTTATTCACTTACAAAATTTCAATCCAATTCCTTGAAAATTTTCCTCGAAAATAAAAAAAAAATATGCCTCAATGTCGTTTTTTGCATATTAGATTTTGCCAAAATGACATTAAGACACACTTCGTTGATTTCAATCCGATCCTGATGTTATTAGGCTCGAATTGGAGCCAATTGAATCCTCTTCAAACCCTGTTAAAAAAATTTGATATAACATCATCAATTTCACAGCTGCAAAGCTTCGAATACTTTTCACTGGAATTTTCATCAAAATGAACAAACAAAAGGGAAGTTTAATTTTTTTTTCTCAAATTTTAATCTTTTTTCTATCCACTTACAAAATTTCAATCCGATTTCTTGAAAATTTTCCTCGAAAATAAATAAAACATACTCCAATATTGATTTTTGCATATTAGATCTTGCCCAAAATGACGTTGAAACATATTTTGCCTCATAACTCCGTTAATTTCAATCCGATCTTAACGTAATTAGGCTCGAATTAAAGCAAATTGAATCCTCTTCAAATTTCTGTGAATAATTTTGAAGTAACTTCAATAGTTTGACAGCTCCAAAGTCTTTTGACTGGGATTTTCATCAAAATGAACATCTTGCCCAAAATGACTTTATAACAAATTTTGCCTCACAACTTCGTTAATTTCAATCCGATCTTAACGTAATTAGGCTCGAATTAAAGCCAATTAAATCCTCTTCAAACAATTTCAATACAGCTTCAATAATATCGCAGCTGCAATCGACTCTCTAGACAAAAATAGCTCTGGAAAATCCAAAAGAATACAGTTGAATCATCAAATTACTTTTCACATCGATGAAAATAATTAATTTTCTTACAGTTGACAATTCAAGTCACGAAATGTAAATTATTAATATCATTAATTTCGATATAATTAATCATCCTATAATGATGACCGGAATTACCTTTTAAGTGACTCACATAATGCAAACGAAAGTTGCCAATAACCAATTACGTAAAACACGAATTATACAAAAATAAAGTTATTATTATTTAATTGCTTACACTGTCACAAGACACGTAATTATTACTCTACTACAAAAATGTACGAGATAAGGGAGTGACAAACACACAAACATTTCAAGCGATAATAATTATATTACAAACGGAGGATAATCACTGTTTTCGTGCAAATTGTTCGAGTGATAACACTTGTCTTTATTTTGTAATTCATCATTACGTATTTATATTGAAAAAAAACAGAAAATGTTCCAAGAAATGTATTAATTATTATTGCGAAAATTATTCTGTCGAAGAAGGTTCAAAGTTTAATGGACCAACTGGAAATGTTTTTGAATATTATTTAATCGATAGTAACTGATCAATTTACAACAATTTGTAAAAAATTCCAGCAGCAACAAAGCTCAGGTGTATGTATCTCTCTAATAGGGGGCGACACTATTCAGTTAGATTTCTCTCTAGTAGATGGCAGAATTGTTTTGCCAAACATTTGATTAACAAAACGTTTGTTCTTTAATGTGTTGTTTTTCTTCTTAAGTTGAAACAAGCCAGATTGGGTAAGTTTTGGCAGTGCATTGTACAAGATACAGTTTTTCGAAGGAATGGGGGAACTATTTAGGAGAATAAGGTGATTTTAAATTTTTCTAATCGGTTCTTGCCAAATATAAGAATATCAGCCATATACTTATGCCAAAGTTCCATCCAAACCACAAACCAAATCATTTAGACATGCTTGAAAAATTTCTGGTGCATTTGATAATCCGTATGGTAGTCTGTTGAATTTGTATCGACCAAAAGGTGTTATAAAAGAACATAGGTCCGAACTATCTTCATTTAATGGTATCTGCCAAAAAGCACATGAAGCATCTAGCACTGAAAACCATTTGGCCTGGCCAATTAAGGAAAAAATGGTATCAATTGTAGGTAGTTTAAGTTTTGTCGTATGATATACTTGTTCAGAGGTCTTGGGTCCATACATAATAAACGAACTAAGCCATCTTTCTTTTCAGTTACAACAAGTGCATTTAACCATTCTGTTGCTTTTTCTAATTTTGTAACTATTCCGTCTTTTTCCATTTGATCAATAGCCTTCTTTACTTGTTCGTGCAGGTAGGTACAGGGTGTTTTTTTAATACAGGGTGTCACGAAAGGTTTGTAACAAACTTCTAGGGATAGTAGATCTCGTAAAAATAAAGCTTTTTTCTTAATAAACATGTGTCCGGAAATGCTTCGCTTTCCAGATACAGGGTATTAAACTTTGTAAAAAAAAGTCAATTTTTTTATTAATTCTTAATGCGTTGGACGAATTAAATGAAATTTTCATAGTTTGTTGACACCTTTATAAGATATCTTTTGGATTGCTCAGAGTTGACCCAGTAATTCCAGGGACGTGCCACAGGTTCTGTCGGATGTTTTTTGCACGAAAAACATAGTCCAGTAGATTTATTTTTAATTAGGATATGTTTTTTGAAAGAACACTTAAAGATACAACTTTTTTGTCTCTTCATTTTTTTCCGTATGCTGCTTTGTTTTCGAGATAAAATATAAAAACCATTTCAGGCGAACCACGAACGTCACTGACTTGCATAAATAAAAAATAAATTGCCACAGAATTACCTGCTATTTGTTGCTTAAAACTAAACAACAAAAAAAAACGAAAAACTTTTTTTCTAAAACGCACGCACTTCTGACAATTAATGTAAAAATTGATTTTTCTACAAAGTTTTACACCCTGTATATCTGGAAAATGAAGCATTTCCGGACACATGTTTATTAAAAAAAAAGCTTTATTTTTACGAGATCTACCATCCCTAGAAGTTTGTAACAAACCTTTCGTGACACCCTGTATATACAATAAAAATTGACACCCACCTACAGCCTTTACCTTTACAGGTAAAAGAAAGGTATAAATACAAAAATTGTACAGTTTTAGCTGAATTTTTAGTAACTATGGTCAGAAACAACATTTGAAAGTCAAAAATGTGAAATTATGCATGCTTCTAGTTTTTTTCAAATGGGATGCCCTATATTTCATTCTATATTCTTGAAGAGCACAATGCCCCTATTCCAAAAATATATAGTTTGTCTATATTTGATTGAACAATCTCTCATATATTCGGCTCCAAAAATTGTAAAAATACTATCCTACTACTGATTTTGTGAACCATTCTACCTATACAGGTGAAAGCTGCTGGTAAAACTTGAGGTACTTGGTTTCTTTGATAGTATTTCTAAAATTTTTAGAATCAAATATATTGGAGTCGGCTCAACCAAATATAGACAAACTATATAGTTTTGGAATCGGGAAATTGTGTTCTTCAAGAATATAGAATCAAATATAGGGCATCCCATTTGAAAAAAGCTGAAAGCATGCAACATTTCACATTTCTGACATTCAATTTTTGTTTCTGACCATGGATTCTAAAAATTTAGCCAATACTATACAACTTTTGTATTTACACTTTTCATCTACTTGTAAAGGTGAAGACTGTAGGTGGGGTATCAATATATAAAAAAAAACACCCCGTACTTGAACAATAACTCATTACATAAAGTCAGAATTTGTAAGATTATCCACTCTTTGTCAATTTGCCTTTCAACAGGAATTAGTAATGTAACTTTACCAAACTAGTAACATAATGTAACAAGTTATTCAAGTACAGATGAGTGAATTGTTGCGGAATTTATGGGTGAACCTCTGCGAAACGAGCGCAGCGAGTTCCGCAGCCATCTATTCATTAATACTTTGTTCAAGTACGATACTAACCTGACTCACTCAAATGTTAGTTATTCTCATTAGTTCAAAAACTACAAGTTTCAGGTGAGTGTCTTATTTGAAGAGTTCAACAGTATATTGGTGAGTAGATGGCTGCGGAACTCGCTGCGCTCGTCCCGCAGAGGTCCACCCATAAGTTCCGCAACAATTCACTCATTTGTACTCGAATAACTTGTCACATTATACTACTAGTTTGGTAAAGTTTCATTACTAATTCCTGTTGAATTTTCTATATTGGTGTTATCGCATTTCTTGAAGAGTAAGATGACCACAGCGTTTTGCCATGTGTCGGGGATTTTTCCCTCTTGCACACATTTGTTGAATAATACACATAATGGATCCAATTTCCAGTGGCGGCTCGTGGTGTCCAAGTAAGGGTGGGCGACAAAAATAAAAAACAGCCGCAGGCGATTCAAATATTGTATTAAAAG